CATAAATCTTCAGTGGGGCAAGCTAATATCGAACAATGAACTCGAATAAAATCTCGCATATAGCTTGAAACTAATTCGAACTTTATTGTCGATTAAATCTTGTAGTTCGACCTAAAACCCAGGTAGATATCTCAGGTATAAGTGCTGACAAAAAGTGAATCTTTTGCACACAGGTATTTTAGCTTACAAAATAGAAACAAGCTTTTTCGATCAAAGGATCGTGTAACGAACAACATCCTCTGAATTTTAAACTTGCCCTATACTCGGTGAAGCACAAAAATTGCACAACTTGTTTTATTATAAAAGGATTAACATTGAAATATAAATTAAAAATTTGTTTAATCACATCTTTTCTTCCTATTAATACTAATTTACCTATAAACTAGCGACTCACACTCGCTTCGCTCGGATTCGTCCCTAGAAGACTGCCCGATTTGTTGACATTTATAATTACTACTCCGCTCCCTTGAGTAGTAACATGATAGTACATATAATAAAGCCTATAGCCTTCTTTAGTAAATGGGCTATCTATTGCAAAAGTAATTTTTCAAATCGGATTAATAGTTCCTGAGATTAGAGCGTTCAATATAGATAAATTGTTGTATAAAACAACAAAGATTTTGTTCAATTGTTAAACAAAATGCAACTTGTTATACCCAGCCATTATCCATCTAGTTATAAAAAAATATGTGTTTAATTATAAATATGTAATAATAGCCTCCTATTAAATATTGACGCAATCTTACTTCTATTATCTATATTCTATACTAATATTATAAATGTGAAAGTTCAGATATTTGTATGGATGTTTGTTACTCAATCACGCCCGAACGGCTGAACGGATCTGGATGAAATTTGGCACAGAGATAGATGATAGTCTGGAATAGCATATAGGCTTTTTATCCCGGAAAAATGTACGGTTCCGTGGGATAGATTTGTTTTTTTTTTTTGATATTATACATTTTCAACATGCCTTTAGACACATTTTGTGTCTATAATATTATAGTCATTCAAATGATACATAGACAGTGACATATACTTTACTCGGTGCACGGCCATTCTATATAAAATGTTTAAAAGAAATAGTTTAACGCAAAAGGAAGTCGAGAAGGCGATTTTAATCTTCTAAGTTTTAGGATAGTTTTGTAGAGGTAAAAGAAGGATCGAGTTATTCGACGCAATTAGACACGGCAGGGCGGAGACGGGCGCGACCCGGGCGCGGTCCGGACCGCTCCCGATCAATCAGCCCGCATAGCCAGTATAATTAATTTATTGGACCATTTGAACCTAACCTTGCCTTGAATTCTTAGTACATATCGGCTTAAAGCAGCTAAATATATAACTTAGGATTCCATATATAATGCGCAAACTCTAAACTTTCAGCAAAAATACTTATAACAAAACTATTATATGAAAGTTATAACATAAAGAAACCTATTCAGATGAATACGTAAGTTTCTCATTCAGATATCGTTAGATACGAGCAGGCACCATAATATCATACAATGTATTTGATGGGATTTACTTTCCATCGCGTCGTATTTACGTAGCGTGTAACTTCGTCGCTAAGACAACGATGTTATTATTATCTTGTCACTCTCAAATAACTAACGTCTTTAAACACGACATCCAGTAGGCTTAAACATAATATATTGTAACAGACTAAATTCAAAGATCCCTGTTTATATAAATAAAACAAAATAAAATTCATTCGAAATAAGTTTTAAATGTTAATTTTAAACCAGCCTTATTTGCATTCAACATCGAGTTGTAAAACTTCGCTCTTGAAACGTACAGACTCCGGGTCGAGTTTTTAGGGCTCTCAACCTGCGATCGACGCGATATTGGAATAATCAAGCCCCTACCCCTTGTTGCGGTCGTTCACACACAATCGAAGCGCCTAGCGTTGTGAGGGCCCTACCTACGCACGAGCCGGGACAAAGCATCTACCCGTACCTAACAACCCTCGCGCAGAATGCACTATAGCCATTGAGTGTACGATGAAACCGACCTTAACGTGATACATCGTAGGACCCCTTTGATTTTAGACATACATGCAGGCGTTCCAACCTTTTTGATATAGCAGAACAGCTCCAGCGAATCAAAAACGAGACAAATGTGGTGCAATAAAGCGCAGAATCGGTCGCAGTAGGACCGCTGTCGGACGCTATGTGCTATATTCGATTGCAGAAAACATGAATATTGAAAACCACTCTTATGTCTTTAGCGCTTTATTGAACACAGTAAAAGTGTGTTTGAAACACCAGCACGTGTTTACAGGGGGCACTAGTTGTGTGTTAGAAATTCTAAACTTCTAAAACTGTTCCCATGTTGTGAACTTTAAAATTTTAGTTCGCGCCGTAACTAAATTAAAACTTGACTTATAATACGTTTGAATTGAGAACCGTCTTCACAATAAAACGTTATGGGACCCATTAAAATACAAATAAAAGTTAGAAATGGGTTAAAGGTTTTCTTTAGCGATTCGTCGAAGCACTTGGTTGTAAAAAAGCCATACATAATATATGGAGAAAGAATACAGTATAAAAAGATTAATTATTCGAAAACAGTATGGTTCGTCGCGAGATTTTTATTGAGTAGTACTAAAAATAAGCTCATTTTTATTCACTGGACTTTCTCTATAGAGATTTCACTATTGACGTAATAAAAGATTTTCGTGTGTAATATTTTAAATCTATACATATAATAAAATTGTAACTAAACCGAATCTGTACGTTAAATATTTTTTGGAAAATCGTATTGAAATTAACGTTATTATCGATACAGAGACCGAATTTATAGTTTTTAGAATTTTTGTCTGTCTGTCTGTTACCGCATCACGTGAAAACCACTGGATAGATTTTAATGAAACTTGGTATGATGATAGCTGGTTATCCGGGTCAAAATATAGGAATTTTACTGCGGGAAAAAATCTCATCTCTGAGAAATCTATAAGTACTGAAAGTTAAAATGTAAGTAGAGACGAACCCGAGCGGAGCGAGGGTGAGTTGCTAGTACATAATATTATTATTTACGATTTGAAACAAGTAGAGGAAAAATAATACATTAAATTTAAAAAAAAAACACCATAAACATCAAGGGGCAAACTAAATGCAATTAAAAATCAATTCATGATACATATTGCATACTAGCGACTTACCGTCGCTTCGCTCGGGTGCATCCCTACATGACGTTTTAAATAGATAAAAATAGTTATTGTGAGCGTATATCAAGAGATGGACTGTTATTGCAGACTTTTTGTAGGCCTTTTTAAAACCTATACGCCTTATACTACCTATACTCTTAAGGTTTAGCCAGTGTTGGTCATTTAAACTCTTAGTTTAGCAGCTCTAAATAACCAGTTATTGTTTCCCGACTAAGAACAGACATATTTTATAATAATAGTAATAAATTATTATTATATGTATAGATATATAGATTTTGATGTATTTTTTTTATTTAAATTAAATATTATATAATATAATTGAATTAATAACAAAAATGCAGTAGAAATGTACAACAATATAGAAATGCAAGTAATACTTTATGAAGTTTAAAGATTAAAAAATAACACCTGGACTTGACACATAAGTTATAAATAACATAACATAGCAATCTCAACCAAACAAACTGTAACTCATAAACAAACTGCAACAATGACATATTTGTATTAAACGCATCACAGGTACTAAAACAAATATTATATTTATAACAATTAATCAGATATATTACATTGATAAAAAATTCCAGTTTCAAAATATTTTACTTAATCATTTTCAACACAAAGAAGTATATTTGGAATGAGATATACTTTTAAATTACTCGTACATAGACTATAAAAATTATATAATAAGCAAGCATATTTAAAAATATAGTGTTATATGCTTCGGAGTCTAAATACTGATTTCACTTGAAAACTTTAAATAAGAACTTATTTTAAGTTAATAAAAAGATTATATTTAAATTATATGTTAGTGTTTTTTAAAGAATAAAAACTTTTAAGTCCATTAGTCAATAATTTTTTCTCAATACATGAAAATGTAGTTAGGAATATGACGTAATTTTCTTAAATTAATGTTTAATATTATTAATTATCCCATATTATAATTTTTTAGTTTCATATTTATTCAAAAAGACTGTTTTGTATACTGAAATAAAATGTAAAAAAAGCACAAGTATGCATAATATACAATTATATATATTATAATCTATGTATATTCATAAGATAATACATAAATATATAATTAAATTACTAGTTGTTTCAATAAGAGCTTAAAATACTGAATAATAATATTAAGGGTAAATCATCGAAGAGTTTAAACTTTGTTACAGAAGTGTATTGCTTACAGGTAAGTATAAAATATATTTTAGTGATGAAGATAGTACTTTTATTATAATAAATATCCATACTAATACTATAAATGTGAAAGTGTGTTTGTTTGTTTGGCTTTCTTTCACGTCGAAACGACTTAGCGGATTGGCGTGATTTTTTATGTGGAGATAGTTGAAGGGCTGGAGAGTGACATAGGCTACTTTTTACCGCGGGAAAGCATCTCTTTCCCACGGGAAAACACGTTATAATACAATCGAAAAAAATATTTATGATTAGAATTACTTGAAACTTGGTATTAATGCTCTTCAATACAATTGAGTAAATACGTGTTTTAGCATTTTTCAAAATTTATTCCATAAGGAGCAAAATAGGGGATGAAAGTTTGTATGAAACCTACCATTTTAGAGCTTTTCTTGTAGTTTTAGCGCGAGCGAAGCCGCAGGTTCTGCTAGTAATTAATAAATCAGCTTTTATTAAACAATGAATATTTCAATATATTATATAACCATATTTAAAAAAATATGTCTACTTCCAAGAACACATTGTTCTTATATATGAGTACAAACTTGTGTAACAACTTGTAATAACAATAAAAATAATGAAATAAATATTTATAATCTGTGTTGCATGGCATTAAACTGTTTCAAAGAGGAAGTTGTGTTTACTAACAGGTTATAACTAACCTGTGAGGTCAACATATTTAACAATTATAAATATTGCTATGCACTATCGAGGTCCTTTGAGATATATTGTTCAAAATGACTCACCATACGACTCCGAAGGCGCCATAGCCAATGGGGCGGTCTGGTTGCACGTCAGTCGGTATGGCCGGCGTCTGATAATAGGGCGCCGCCGCCGCCAGGATGGCGCCCTGCGGCGCGCTCTGCGTACCGCCCTGCATCAGCGACATGGAGACACTCATGGAGACGCGTGAGTGCCGCGCTGGGCCGCTTACAGCCGCCATCCAACCGCTCCGCGGCTCGCCGTCACCGCAGACTCATCACACGGTGCACTCCACGACCACGATACTGCGCTCCGATCACCAGATCGCTCCCGGTTGACACGCGACAATATCACCAGTTACTTCTTTATTATTCATGCTCGGACGACTTTGCGGGAATCACTCGACGCACTCTACACGGTTCTGGACACCTGTCAATTTCACCAGTAATTTACACTAATGTTGCGTTATGTTACAGTTACGGACCACACGAGGATAGCTTCTGTATGCAGTTTTAAGTATTTCAGCACAAAGGATGGAGACCGTGATAATTTATTATTCTTTGTGAGCCACACACAATCGTCCACACGCCACGGAAATCGAGCGAGACTGACCTGCTTGGGTAGGGGGAGGAAGCGGTGCGCGAGCGAGACGGAAAGCGACAATGGCGGCGACGCAATGAACAGCTGCTCCGCTTGATGTTGGCTTTGGCTTGGCTTGTTTCGGTCGACTCAATACAGCGAATTCTCGACGATCACATTTTTTTTTTCAGGATAATATGTATGTCTTTATAACAGATTAAATAAAATAAATTTTACAAATACAGATTATATTTGTATATAGATCGAACATATGAAAAAGTACCTACTTTATACGCTAAATTGTTGTGTTTATTACTTTTTGTAAAATATTATTTTTTTATTTATACATAATTACAGTTTAGTGTACCTATTGTAAAAAAAAATCTAGTAATTTTCTAAAAGTTTCGATATCAAAACATTTGTTAAATAAAAACTAAAAACTTTTCAAGTAAAATTGCAAAACCTAATAATATAAGCTTGCAGGTTGTAGGTAGATATTGTTAATAGTTAACCAATGTTGTTTTTAATCATTCTCTTAATATTTTTAAGTAGGTATAGGTAGTGAATTTTTTTAACAGATACTATACACTGCTCCGATTATATGCGTATCATAAAGCGTTCACCTTAAATGTTTTCCCACGGAAGCCCTTTTAAGTCAATTTTAATTCATAACTTGGCTTCCTATTTTCGTATTACCTTTAAAGTATACATATTTACTATAAAACCGTAAACTAAAGTATTATCAAATTTGCTACAGTAGTGTGTTATTGAAAAGTTTAAACTTATGTACATCCATACTAATATTATAAATGTGAGTGTGTTTGTTTGTCCTTCTTTCACGCCGAAACGGAGTGACGGATTGGCGTGGCTTTTTGTGTGGAGATAGTTGCAGGGCTGGAGAGTGACATAGGCTACTTTTTACCGCGGGAGATTATCTCATTCCCACGGGAAAACACGTTATAATACAACCCAAAAAATATTTGTGATCAGAATTACTTGAAAATTGGTATTAATGCTCTTCAATACAATTAAATAAATACGTGTTTAAGCATTTTTCTAAATTCATCCCATAAGGAGCAAAATAGGGGATGAAAGTTTGTATGAAACCTACCTTTTTCGAGTTTTATTTGCATATTTTTCTGTTAGTAAACGCTTATTTTTTTATTTTTTATAATATATGGGACAATTAAAAAAATCTGTCTATAAATATATATGTATGTATCAAGTTTTAAAAAGTAAAGATTTAAAACGTAGATACAGTACAAATATATTATTTTGGCAAAAAGAAGTTTATTAAATGAAGTTTTTAACCATATTGATTAATTATTATCGTCAGACTTAGGCAATAGTTTCAAGAACTTTGTATTTTTTTTCTTGCTTGGCAGTATTTAATAGATCCTTCAATTCAGACTTATATTTTACAGTGGCATTAGCAATTTGCTTCTTAAAAATAAGACTTCGTTCCATAGACGGATCAACTTTTATAAAAAAATCACAAAGCTCATTTGCCATTCTTAAACCTTCTCTAAGATTTTTCAAATTAAATGTCACGTTTCCAGTGCTTGTTGAAGCCTCTTCTTCAATCGGCTGCAGATTTAACATTTCCTCCAAGTCGGTTTCAGTCAAATCTTCATCTTGCGATTCAAGCAACTCCTGAATGTCACTTGAGTCTATCTGTTCTAGCCCATCTCGTCCTATTCCATTCGCAATTTCGGCAATGTTTGCAGTTAAAGTTTGAATTTGTACAGATTCTTCATTTATTTTTTCCAGCATGATTACAATGTGTTTGGCTTCAGTTCTTCCAATGATTCTTTTATATTTACGATGCATTTTGCTATGTCAAATTTCTTCCAACATTGCATAACATTAATATCAGGATCATATTCCATAATATCCAGTATCATTTTGAAGGTTCGTCTAATGTAATACAGCTTAAAGGCCTGGATTATTCCTTGGTCCATAGGCAGAAGTAAAGCCGTCGTGTTGGGAGGTAAAAATATCACTTTTATATTTGGATGCATAGTTTCAAGTTCGCGAGGATGACCTGATGCATTGTCTAAAACTAGAACTGCTCTTAAGTCTATTTTATTTTATTTAAATAAGTTTCAACTTCAGAAACAAAACAATTCCGAAACCAGTCACAAAAAATAGAGCTTGTAACCCACGCTTTCTTAATAGCACGCCAAAACACTGGTAGGTTGTCCTTGTTTTGTTTTTTTAAAGCACGAGGATTTAACGATCTGTAAAGCATCAGTGGTTTAATGACACAATCTCCAGATGCATTAGAACATAGCAGCAGTGTAACTCTATCCTTTGCTGCCTTAAATCCAGGGCCGGACTTTTCGCTTTTAGAAATGAATGTTTTGTTTGGCATTCTCTTCCAAAACAACAAAAGTTTCGTCTACATTAAATACTTGCTCAGGTTTGTATCCCCCATCAGCTACTAGGTTTGCAAATTCTTCTGGATATCTTTTTGCTACAGCAGTATCTGAAGATGCAGCTTCTCTAACGATTTTAATGCTATGCAATGATTGTCGCACCTTAAATTTATTGAACCAACCTTCCGATGCTTGAAATCCTCCATCTGTACATTCACCACCACCAGGTTCTTTAAAGTGTGCCTAAAGACGCTTTGCCCTCTTCCGGACCATAGGACCACTCAGGGGCACCATTTTTTGGTTGCGGTCCTCGATCCATAATGACAACACCACTTCCATTTTTTCAACAACAACAAATTTCGCTGACAGTAAAGTTGAAGCTACAGACGACCTTATTTTATCTTCGGATTTTCTTATCGATCATACAGTTGATTCGTTGACATTGAATGAGCGTGATATGGATGCAAACGACTCTCCAAGGCGTAAACGATCAAGCATTTCTATTTTCACTTTAAGCGGTAACACTGATTTTTTTCGCCTCGGAACTAGTTTATCATTTTTTTAGCGGACATTATAAATTAGGAAGATAGCGGAAGAGACGTGTTACTCGTCACAATTTTTGTAACGAATGAAAAAAGGAGACAATAAAACACGCAAAGTGGCTCTTACCAAAGGACGAAACGTCTAATATGTGGCAGCATTTAACAATATACTTTATGCTTTGAGTAATAAGATTGTTTTACTTAAACATTGTTTGTTTATATTCTCAAAAACACTGACCGCGGCGAAGGCGGCAAGGAAAAGCCGAACCACTTACAGTGGCGATAGCATTTGACAATATACTTTAGGCATAGTTGTAATAAGGTCTGTTTTACTTTTTTATTAGTCCAAAAATATTTTGCGAATACCGAAACGGTGAATATGGGATGGTGATTTGTATGGAAATGTGATGTTCTCCTAGCCGATCCAGCGTGCACAAGTGTACGCGCAAACACAACGTGTACTCTCTATTCCTATCACTCTCATACTCCGGTAGGACGACCACTCGACACGACCGAGTGGTCGTCCTACCGGAGTGAGAGTTAAGGCGCAGGACCGACGGCTTTACGTGCTCTCCGAGGCACGGGGGTGAAACACCGCCAACTTCGCAACTTCGGGCTGTTACTGAGACTTACTATACACAAAGGCTCAATAACTAAATTTGGCCCGACCTTGGACTCGAACCCAGGACCTCCGGGTGTGCGGCCGTACATGCTAGCCACTACACCACCGAGGCAGTTGAATCTCGGAAACGGTTTCAACGATTTTCATGAAATTTAGTACGCGGGGGTAGCAGGGGCGATAAATCGATCTAGATTAGTCTTATGTCTAAGAAAACGCGTTTCTGAGTTTTCATACAGTTTTCTTTTGCATTATTCCACGCAAAATATGGTCGGTAATTTGCACGCACTGGTGTAAGCATAGTGGTCAAGCGGTGCAAGATCAACAATCACAGGTGTCCAAGTTCGAATCTCGGTTGCATACATAGTTTTTACTTTTGTTTTTTTTTATATTTATTCAAGTTTTGTTTTTTTTTTAAAAAGATTATTAAAAAAAATTGTATTTTAGGCAAAAAAACTCCGAGCGAAGCTCGGTAGCCCAAGTGCTGTCTAAATTAACCTCAATAATTAAATACCCTCGTTTTAACCCAAACACAAAAAGAAGGGTGTTACAAGTTTAACGTATGTATCTGTGTGTCTGTAGCATCGTAGCACCCAAACGGCTGAACCGATATATTTTTTAAAGGTAATTTAATCGAAAGTGTTCTTAGCTATAAATCAATAAAACCCGTTCAGCCATTTGCAGGCTATCAGCATTTATCTATACGGTAAAAAGATATGAACAACTTCCACAGATCTCATCCATTCGCAACTTAGCATCCCGTTACTTCAATGACATTTGCAACAATATGGTAACCTTGGCCTGATGCTGCAGTGTCACCTGGAATCTGCAAGATGCTCAACTCCCTACTAAAATATAATACGCAGAGGTATCGTGTAGGTTCATTGAAATGGTCTCAATGAATAGGTTATTTATTGTGTTGGTTTCTTTTTTAATTTTAATTTGTTAATGAAAAGATGCCGAGTGCCGTTGGTATTTGCTTGTAGATACGCCTCTACCTATAAAAATAGCAAAAAATATTTTGAAATAAGTAGGCATTTGTTCTTCGGTGTGATGAGTAGAAATCCTGCAGTATGTGAAAACATATAAAGTTAATTGGCTGCTTATTATAATATTTAAAAAATGTAATGTTTTATATTTAAAATCATGTCCAGGTACCTACCTATCTACAGTAGGTAATAAATATCGTCCTGTGTGGAGTTTCAGCGTGAACAAGTAAAAATCAAACAGACTAAACTTTCGCTTTTTAAAATACTCCTTTTCAGATTGTCCAGGACATAGCCTATATGAGTATTTAATTCCATCCAAATTCGACCAGCCGTTTCAGACGTAACAAACAAACACACATACAAACTTCGGCATTTATATTAAGCCGAATCAAACATCTGTGTTTGAATTTTCAAAACGTGCGTTGAACTTGTTTAGTAATGAACCTTTATCGGTCAAGATTACATACGATTTATGATATACAAACAAAAAAAATCATAGATAAAAATGTATAGTACTGTAAATTTTTATCCCTACTAATATTATAAATGCGAAAGCGTATACGTCTTTCTGTTACTTTAACTAGAAGACGGTGTACACAATTTAAGTTTTTATTATTATTATATACTAAAACAACTATGTCTTTATGTATATAAAAATAAAATATGTAAATCGTCTGTCGGGTCCGCTAGTACTCATATAATATTTTTATTTAATATATGTAAGTAATATTTTAGGCATATACGTACGTATTATAAAATCCATTTATTGTATGGGGGGAAAAAAATAAAAAACCAACTATAAATATCATTATTTTATCACAGAGAATCACATTGTGTTATACAACATATTTACGTGTCTAGTACAAAATACCTCTTACAACGATCTAAATATGTATAGAATAGTAAATACTTAAGTTACAGTGAAAATCGAGACACCACTACAAAATACAATATTTTAATTCAACAACTTTATTAAAATACAAGTAGATTACAGAGGGTTAAAGACAAATTGCACTAAAAATAATAACAAAACGTTAAACATTTGTTCAATAAATATTGCTAAGTATTATAAAAATAACTAATTTCAATATAAATTGATGAGTTTATGAGATTAGTCTCGTTAAATAAAAAAATATAATATGGCAGCTTCCTACAGCACATAATGTTATATTTTATTAAAAAAATACGTACTAGGTATAGGTAAAAAAATATACAAATTAAGAAATCCTTCATAGTACAAATAATAATGGTAATATAAGGGAGTAATATTACCGGTTTTTAAGGGTTCCGTACCCAAAGGGTAAAACGGGACCCTATTACTAAGACTCCGCTGTCCGTCCGTCTGACTGTCCATCTGTCACCAGGCTCTGAACCGTGATAGTTAGACAGTTGAAATTTTTACAAATGATGTATTTCTGTTGCCGCTATAACAACAACTACTAAAAAACAGAAAATAATAATATTTAAGGGGGCTCCCATACAGCAAACGTGATTTTTTTTGCTCGTTTTTATAGACAATGGTACGGAACCCTTCGTGCGCGAGTCCGACTCGCACTTGGCCGGTTTTTTATAACATTACCAGACTAAAAGAAATTCCCAATTTATAACGAGTCCTTGAACCTAGAGATCGAAAATATACTAAAAATGACTTTGTAAGGAAGTATTAGTACGACTTTGTATAGTTCGTATCCAGTATAACTTAATGTTTTATAGCACGTAAAGATTTACAATAAAATACAAACTAACTCGATGGAAACTGAAAATTTCCAATTTAACCTTGATTCAATTTACTAATAGGTATTTAAATTCAGTAATAGAAAATTAACTTCTTTAGGGTTCCGTACCCGAAGGGTGCTAACGGAACCCTACTGTCTCAAAGGCGTTATATACTTGTTACAGACGCCTTTCAGACGTCTAAAACCTTAGTCTCTCCCGTGACCATGATGCTGTAAAGCATTCGAAACGTCGGGAACCAAAAATCTAAATAAATCCGCGAAATAATTAGAAATCATAGTTTTATTTGTAATGACAAATATTCGTGTAAATCTAAGAAAGTATTAGAAAACATGTATTACACAACCCAAAGTTACAGAGCTTTTTGATGAGCCTTTAAGCAAATAGTAGGGGAGCCCAAGAGGGGATTTTGAAGTTACTCAAACGCGGCAGATTAACATAAGGGGGGATACCTTGCACTCTGTTGAGTACCTCCACCATAAGCCCTCTATATAGGTGCGTGCGTCTAGAGCAGCCGATCAAAATATTTAAAAAAATATTTTGATACGGTAGAAATACTTGAAACCGT